ACTATTCGGACTTTTGTTGGCAATGTGATGTCTCTGCTTTTTAAGATGCTGTCAAGGTTTGTCATTGCTTTTCTCCGAAGAAGAAGGCGTCTTTTAATTTTGTGGCTGCTGTCCCCATCTGCAGTGATTATGGAGCCCAAGAAGGTAAAATCTGTCACTGGCTCCATATCTTCCCCTTCTATTTGCCAGGATGTGATGGGGCCGGTGGCCATGATCTTAGTTTTTTTGATGTTGAGTTTAAGACCGTTTTTTGCACTCTCCTCTTTCACCCTCATTACAAGGTTCTTTAGTTCCTCCTCACTTTCTGCCATCAGAGTGGTATCATCTGCATATCGGAGGTTGTTGATATTTCTTCCGGCAATCTTGATTCCAGCTTGGGATTCCTCCAGTCCGGCCTTTCACATGATGTATTCTGCATATAAGTTAAATAAGCAGGGAGACAATATACAGCCTTATCGTACTCCTTTCCCAATTTTGAACCAAGCTACCAACATGAATTTGACCCAACTCCGGGAGGCAGTGGAAGACAGGAGGGCCTGGCATGCTCTGGTCCATGGGGTCACAAAGAGTTGGACATGACTTAACGACTAAACAACAACAAATATTGTTTACAGATTCTTATTGAAATCTGCAGTCATTTAAAATTTTGTTCTCTTGTTTTCTATTCTTTGGGTGATACGTTAATAATAACTTTGGAAGCAATCTTGGTGACAAACTGAGTGCAAATAAATTGGCCAACCAACAACAACATGACATGGACAGAAAAGCTGGAAATTTGGGGCAGTGATCTTGCGCGCCTAATGGGGTGCTTCACAGAGGTCAGAAGACCAACAAGATGTGTGTGCATTGCCACCATATTAAACTGGGAGAGGCAGAAAAGGGGGTTTTCTTCCTCAGGCCTCCACATCAAGGTGTCAAAGGTTCTTTCAGCCGTTCGTGTCTTTTCCCCTCAATTTCACATTTATGTTTCTTGAAACAATCCATTCTTTCAATGAAGATATTAAGAGTTATAATCTACTTGTACGTTCAGCCACTAGTACAGGGAAATACTTGTCCTATTCTGAATGATAGTGGATAAAAATCAAGTTTCTCTTACTCTTCCTTCAGCAGCAGCTACAAATAAATGGTTATATATCACAGCTATATGCCATGCTGACCAAAGCTATCAAATTCCAAGCTAATCCTATCTGTATAACACTGAGTCACATTGGGACCTCAAAAACTGCGGCATCAATGCCACCACCTTCTTCTTTACCCAACCTTTACTCTACAAATGGCTTGAGAAGAATGGCAGCTGCAAATGACACTTTTTCTTAAAATAATTAGAGGAAAATTTGAGGGTCGTTTTATACACAGAAGGCAGGAGCAGGAGGCGGAGGCAGAGGAGCAGCCATGCTCAGCCACCTCTCATGGCTGCCCATTGACTGCTGCCTCCACCATCCGATCGCCCCCTCCAGCGCCACTGCTGGGGCTTCTCTCTGGCTCACATCGCTGCCTTGTCCCCTGCCTGAAGGAGAGAATCGCTGGAGGAGGCGATCCAGCACCAGCAGCAGTCAATGGACAGAGACAATCGCTGGAGGAGGCGATCCAGCGCCAGCAGCAGTCAACGGTGGGTAGCAAGAGATAGGCGAGCACGGCTGCTCCTTTGCCTCAGTCTCCACCGTCTGCGGTTGCTGCAGTCTCCTCCAGTGCCACTCACGGGCTCAGCAGCAGCAGCAGGAGACTGAGGCAAAGGAGCAACCTCGCTCATCCGCCTCTCGTGGCTGCCCATTGACTGCTCCTCTGCCTTCAGCAAGAGTAACAATTAGGGGTTGTCTTATACATTGGGAAGGTCGTATACACGGAAAAATACGGTATTTCTAGGTCAGACCTTCAAGCTGCAACCCTATATAACTTGGGCAGATTTGCAATTCAAGGCAATCATAAATAGTTATTTACAGTAAAAGCTAGTTTTAAGTTGTGAGGCTGACATTGCGTAACACAGGATTGAGTACCTTCTGCCAAACTGTGAAATGCTATTTAACAAAATATCTTGTTACCAGTTTATAAGGGGATTAACAAATTCTAAGGTTGTTGATGGTAATTTTTATGTGCCATCAACTCATTTCTATCTTATAGTAATCTTAGAAATCAATGAAATCCAAAAGGTCCTAACATTAACAGCCTCGCTCAGGTCTTGCAAACTAAAGGTTGTAGAAGACTGACATCATTAAGTCAATCCACCTCTTGTTCAATCTTCATCTTTTTCTACTACCTTCCACTTTCACTAGCATTATTGTCTTTTCTAGTAAGTACTGTCTTTTTATGGCATGTCCAACATACAACAGCCAGTTTAGCAATTTTAACTTCTGGTAAGAGTTCAGGCTTGATTTGATCTAGGACCCACTTGTCTTTTTTCTGGTGATCCATAGTATCACATCCATACAGAGTGGTCAGGAATATCACAATATGGATTGTTTTGGCTTTGGTTTCTAGCAATATGTATTTATATTTACAGATCACCAAGGCTTGCTTTTTAAAAACTCAGCACAGCTTTTTAAACTGAGCAGAGCTCCCAAGGGCATCCCAATGCCCCATCATCTTTATGTTCTCACACACCCCTGTACTAACCATAGATCTTCATCAGTTGTTAATGACTCCAACCCAACCTTATTTGTTTCAGAAGACCTAGAAAAATAGGCTTGAAAAATATAATTCAGAATTCAAAATATCAAAACAGAGAATCCAAACTAAGCACATGCATTAATAGTCAACTGTGTAATCTTAGCTTTTGTAAGCAGAGCATACTTACATCAGCCTTGCCTAGAGTGTATAAAGTTTCCAAGATCTTATGGTGCAGCAAATATTCCATGCAAGGGCCCGTTTCCCCATGTTCCCTTTCTCTTTCTTCCTGAACTAAAATATCCAGCATCTGCTCCAGATGAGATGGAATGTTGGTATCAGTCACTGGGGCTTTGTCATCTACAGAAATAATTTCCATTATAAAAAGGTAGTCTCCGTTCTCAGTTTTTTATCATTACACCCAAACATGCTTATCAGTTCAGACTTTTCAATCCTCCGGAGTCAGGTTTTGTCACGGAATACACAAAGAACCAGATCTACAAGGTAAGCATTTTACAGCATTGCCACCTGAAGGCAATGCTGAAGGTAAATGAGGTCCATGACTCTCAGACATTTCACCTAATGCCCTAAACCGTGTTTATTTTTTTTACTCCTGCCTTTCTCCAGTTGTGGGAACCCTTGACAGTACGTATATGATTTTTTAAAAAACCAATAATCAATTAAAACAAATTGAGTAAGAGATAAAACTACAGTATAATACATACAGATTCAAAATATTCCTTTAAAACTATAAATTTTAAAATGTTTAAATAGTAAATACCTCCTCATCTCAGTTGCCATCTGGCTCTCCAAAAAAAATATCCCTTAAAAAGGTACATTTTCAGCTGCTAATGGAGAGAAAGGAGGGAAGGTGACAACTGCACCTTCCAAGGTGGATGGAGTTACATAAGGTAGGAGCAGGCACAAAAAGGACCCTCTCTTGGGTCCAGACATGCTTGTAAAAGTGGTGGAACTAAGAAAAGGCTAACTGCATGCCAGTTATATGAATTGGTACACAACTAGGAATGTGAGCAGAATAGTAGTGACACAACTACTAATCAGCAGCGACTGACACAATGATAAAGAAATCCCTACCAGGAATCTGGCCAATACTGACATCCTGTATAGTCTTCTTAACACTATGAAATATTATTTATGCAAAATAACTTGATTTATTTTAACCATATACTGGAATTAGCATGACCAAATATATTCCATACAATGTTGGACTTACATATTTCTGGAAACCTTACATATTTCCAGCAAACTGAAAGCAAGTGTGATGTAATTTTACACGATCAGTCTAGAAGCAATTTTTACTGCAAGGCTGCAGGTAAATAATCCAGTAACAAGTTTGTTATTCCCTTATGCAACTGTCTACAATAACTATGATATGAAAGCAACAGGGAACAAGGTCACAGAAGTGAATTGCACCATCTAAGGACTTTAACTCTCTGTATCACCAACCACTGAAAATGTTGTGAAATTGTGAAGTGTAATCTGCAAGGGCAACCAGCTAGACCCCCATTTATTATTAATAGCTCCTGGATCCTCACTTTTAACTGAGAAAGGAGTCCCACCTACAGACTTTGATAAAGATTCAAGGAAATGACTCTTACCTGATGTCTCTATGTAGTAATGTGTAATAGCCTTCCAGTGGTAAACAAAATCTTCTTGCAATGGAAGGGATGGTGCAAGCTGAAGAGAAGAAACAGAGACCAGACATAAGACATTCCCTGAATTTTGACTTGAGGAACACCTATAGAACTATTCGGTGCTTGGAAGCATGGGTACATCAAAGCAAACCAATAGCCAAAAAAATGCTATACAATGTACAAGGAATCTTAACCCACAATTTTCTGCAGCTGGCACACATGTGCAAGGGGAAGACTGCAGAGTTAGTTCTGAGTGCTACTGGAGCCTTTTCTGAAATAAACAGCCATAGCAGCTTTGCACACATAAAGGGTTCAAAGCACATCCCCTAGCCTGGGCCTCTTCTAAATTAGATAAGAAGGTAGGTAATCAGGCAGGCAGGCAGGCAGATAAAAGCAATCACTCTGCCAAACTATATTTTATGTTTCTGTATTCCTGGAACCAAGATGTATTTTAGACATCCTTTCAGCTACCTCCGCAATTTGCTTCCAAAGTGCTCACAAGTATAAATGAAGGGACATTTATCTCATTGACATGGAGGACTATCAGATGTTTCCAGTCAGCCTTTTGAAGACTTAAAAGCCTAAACAAAAAAAAACTGATGTACACATTTCAGCCTATTTTATCTCACTGCCACTGCTACTGTTGAAAGTATCCTACAACTGTAATTTACTGGGGTTTATATTCTGTTTACCATAATAGTATGGAGGAGAGCAACTATTGTAATAAAATACTGGTATACTAAAATACTTGAACTGAATTGCATGGTGTTTCTTCCTGGTTCTGGAGATCCTCCATGCAAGTGGCTTCCAGAAATATGAAACTCTTGTATGGAAGCAATCCACTCAATCAAGGATACCCATGTGGACGATTAGTTTTCAAACATTAAGTTGACCTGGGGAAATGTTTTTGATTTCTAGAGTGGCTCAACAGGTTGGATCCAACTGGGGCTACTCTACTGACAGGAGGGTCTTTGAGCTAGAAGAATGTTCCTTTAGCAAAGGAGGAGGAAAGTAATTTTTCTGGTGACCTCTATCCCAGTCAACAGGCTCTCTCCACTGCACCTCCTATGCAGTTCCCAAGACTCTTCAGACCTGTAGTGCAAATCCAAGCTAAACGCAGACAGAGAAGGAGTTACTGAACATCCTTGTTCTGCTGACCAAAGCCACGACTGGATGGGATAAGATTCCATCAGTGGAGTTGCTCCAATTAGCATTCTGGACTACTTTAAAGTAGCTCAGCTACTGTGACACTAAAAACAACAACCAAATACTAAAATGGCAGTTAAAATATGCATCTAAGTAAAACTGAAGAAATTAAAACTAAAGGACAATATTTTATTAGTCAGCCTTTTATGGAATTTGCTGCTAGGGCACAAATGGTATACTAAATCAGCCTGAAACTATATATTTTTATTTAGATACTTGACCACAGATACATACGAACAATTCTAGGAAGAACTGCTAAGCGAACTGAAGATGTTCTATGGATTTTAGGCAACAAATTGTAAAAGATGGCTCACTGAACACGCAATATTGAAACCTGCACTTTAATGAGTCCATTCTTGATCTTGGCTTTTATTCAATTATTGTATTCTTCCTAAGTTAATGCATGGCTCATAGAAAGTGTCAGCATGCAACTTCCATTTCTAATGCATGCAATAATTCATCTAAATGATCTTGCAGCAGCTGCATAGACTTGCTTGACTTTGACCTTCTTCAACACTTTCAAAAGACAGCCATCTCTTTAGCTTGTCCATTTTTCCTTTTCTGAGTTCTTCTGTATTTACCAATGGCATGATTAGAAAAAAACAGAACAATATATTTTCATATTATAACATCGACATGCTGGGGAAAGCTTTGTCCATTTTACAGCTGCCAAAAATACAGAGCCGATATCTTAGCAGTTAGATAAATAACTCTGAAGCACTTCCCTCAGTGTCATAAAGACACATGAATTTATAGCTGTGCCATAATCAGCAAAAAAGTAGTAGAGGGAACAGTAAAGAAACGAAATGAAATAAGCATAGAACCAAACAAATGGCAGGGCCTTTATATATAGACATGAAATTTTTCAACATTTCAGAAAAGGGGATTCTAATTGTATGGCAGCTCTAGCTATCGAATAAATATGGGTGATTATTAGTTCCGTATGATCTGCTCAACAGGAGAAAAAAAGGTGAAGGTTTTGTCTTTTGGGCAAAAATTTTATTATAGCCATTATACACTACTGCAGTTCTGCTTATCTGGCCATCTTTTGAGATGTTGAGAAACATATATGAGAAACATATAAACAATCCAGTAGCAAGCTTGCTATTCTTTCATCTTTTCTCCAATTAGATAATACAGTGAATGATCTGCTCAACAGGAGAAAAAAAGGTGAAGGTTTTGTCTTTTGGGCAAAAATTTTATTATAGCCATTATACACTACTGCAGTTCTGCTTATCTGGCCATCTTTTGAGATGTTGAGAAACATATATGAGAAACATATAAACAATCCAGTAGCAAGCTTGCTATTCTTTCATCTTTTCTCCAATTAGATAATACAGTGATGCCTCACACAACGAGTGCACCGTAGAACGACGAATCCGCACAACGGGGCCGTTCTAGCGATCACAAATGCGATCGCACACCGACGGCCCTTATGGCGCTTATCTGGCCATCTTTTGAGATGTTGAGGAGTACTTTTCAGAAACATATAAACAATCCAGTAGCAGGCTTGCTATACTTTCATCTTTTCTCCAATTAGATAATATATAGAGGAAATGTTGGTGAGAACTATGGGTTTCTCCTGGTTCCCAGACTGCACCACCTCATATTGGTGGAGCACATCTGATTATGGATGTGCCTCCCAGGATAAATGTTTGAGCAGTTCACAAAGAATGGTCTCCAAGATCTGCCATTTTAAGAGCCTGGCTTAAAATGAACTTGCTCTTCTTTGTGAATGGGTGTGGTCTGCTTTCAGAGAGACCTGGTTTGGAGAAGTTGGCATGAGGTTTAATGTTGCCATTGACCATCTGCGTTATAATTCTTATACAGTGAATTTTAAAACTCTTTTTTCTACCTTAAATGGTTCAGTAAAGATCAATGTGCTGTTCTAGCATTGATGTCTATACATTTCTACATTTAAAAAGAACAAAGAAAGGCCCAAACAGAAAAAAGTTCTGATGTAAAGCCAAAATTATAGCTGAAGCTATAAAGTACCTCAAAAGACAAAGAAATGCAGCTTAGAGCTCTCTCACACACACACCCAAAAGACATGGACTGATACAGTAAGTGTACCCTCCTTGTATCTTCTACTCCAAATAAACACAAGGGATGGACACTATTCAATTCTTTTGAGAAGAAAAGCTCCCCTCTTGCTTTCCTAGGACCAAGTGTATGAAATACTATACAGTATTTAAGACTAGCATAATAAAAAGACTATGTAACAAGACTGTGCTACAAATCTGTTGGTTGCAGAGGTCACGCTATCAACCGGCATTTCATTTCAGCTCTTCACTCCACTAGTGATAAGCTACAGAAGGGAGTAGATGTGCTACATGGGTATTTTCTACACCCAATGTACTTAATTTTAGCCTGAAAAATCCTATACATATTTAGTTGAGGGGAAAACACCACTGTAGCTAGTTGAAGTTACTTATAAGTTCACTTATCTTGCTAGCCAAGCGAAAGGTTTAAACAGATTAATTTAAGTGATCACTTCAGTAAATAGATCAGCTGTATTATAAATACAGTTGAAGAATTAGGACTTTCCCTGACTTTTCATACCCTAAGAGCAGACTACTTCTGACTACACTTCTGACTACATACTGTATTTAGATCTCAGTACCCCTGACAATGATAACATGATTTGACTTTAATATGACAGCAGAAATGCTACCATTTTTAATAAATGTGACCTGTGCCTCATTTGATATCATCTGTCAACATCTGTTATTCATGAAAACACAGTTAAATGTAAACACCTGATCTTGATGTTAGTCATAAGCATGACTCCAAAAATGAAATGAGCTTTGGATAGCTTAGTCTTCTGGATTTAATACTCATAACTTTAAATATGTACATACTTGTTGCTACCTTTGTTTAATAAGATAAAGTATATAGGTCTGAACTGGGCCCTCATATAGGCACAATTAAACCCACTGATGTCAATGGAAAGAACTGGCAACAACTGTTTTAATTATGCTCTCCTCCCCCACTTTTAGCCTCCAGCTCTTTCAACAAACATAGCTAGAGGTGTAATGATGCTCGGCACTCATCCTACTGGGAATGCAGAACAAATACATTATGCAATTTATCAGGCAAAATGTGCTTTTAAACATATTCTGTTCCTTGCAACACAATATCCAACACAGATTATTTCTAATCAGTATCACTGGACTCCACCCTTCTACAAACTTCATGGGGAAAAAATCAGCAACAAACATGGAAAAACATATAAAACTCAACACAACACTGTAATTTCCCTTACCACAGAACAGTTTCAACCAGAAGCCAACCAACATGCTTTTGCCTGCTTTATGCTCATCCTGATTTTATTTTTTCCACTTTGTAACAGAGCCGTGAGTGTGGAAGGTGGACATTTCAGACAATAAGATTATTTGATTTTTCAGCATCATTGCTCTTATGCTAAGGGATTAACATAATAAGAAGTTTATACAAACCACTATAACTTTTTATTGCTTTGCATGATATGAAACTACTCTGCAGTGAGTGAGGTATTCATTCACGTTTGCCATATGGAAAAAGCTCTGAAGCCTTTGCTTCAAATTAAAGGGCAATGCAGTCATACAAGGGCAAGCCCTATTTTGCAGAAATGTATAATCAACATTTGGAATTCTTTCCCACTTGTCATATAATCAGATAGCTAGTTTATAGAAGGTGAAATAATAATTCCAAGCAACTTTTCCCCAGGAATACTGCAGGTAATTCCCCAGAGTAGAAACATTCTGGATGGGCAGTATATAAATCTAATAAATAAATAAATAATTGAAATGTGAAGGTATATGAAATGTCTTTAAAGGACTGTTTCATTCATTAGCATGAGACAGATTCGAAAAGAACCTGCCTGCCTACAAGTTTAAGAGAAGCTTCGGATAGCTCTAATTCATTGCCCAAATGGCAGAATGGCTATAATGCACAGGTTCACAATCTGTGATCCAAGGGTGTCACAAAGTTTTTGGGGGAGGGTCACTGTGGTTATTTTTAGTTGCAATTATTTTTATAGAAATTTTGCAAAATGATTTTCAACACTTATTTATTGCCTAGATGCAAGTACAGCCGTCACATTAAATATTAAGTTAGAATTATATTCTGAAGAATCTATTTTAATGTGGTTTCTGTACCCCCATTAAAATGCCTTTTAATGCAAATGTGATGGGGAGTGACAGGTTACTTCGCTATTATAAAAATGGCTGTGACTCAAAAAAGGTAAGGAATTGCTGATGTAATGCATCACAGACATATAAAGAAAAGTCTGAATGAATCAAACATTAGGATACTAGATTCCCTCAACTGGCGGCTATATACGCTAGCCCTACCCAAAGTGCCATGTGACAGCCACATAAGCTGACACCATCTGCATAAGAAATACTATCCTGTCAATAGCATATTTGGCCTATACTCATTTTCATAGACATGCTACCCTGCAAAAGTATAAGGACCTTCTTGCATGGAGCACATCTAAGCAGGTACATGGTATGGGTATTTTTACAACACCTTCCTAATCTTGTCAAATATGTGGACAGCAGGAAAGCACTTCTTGAGGGTCAGAGGCTAGGGAACATGATTATGACATTTGTCAGTGATAGCTTGTATGGTTCCCTCTTGCATTTTTTGAAGGGGACTGTCACGTGAGTGTCCCTTATGTCAAGTTTTTAGGTGTTCATCAAATAACACCACACCAGTTCTGATGTTCAGTGTGTGACTTTCTGGTCATGAGACAAAAAAAGCATTAGCTTTTATGCATCATCAAGAATACAATGCTAATGCATTTATATTCAGGAGTCAGTCCTACTGAAGTTTGATTACACTTACAGAAAAGTGTGTAGAACAGACACCTTCCAGCCTAACACCTTCCAGATATTCAAGACTAAGATTTCTTGAAGACAGGTATACTGACCAGGAATTATGGGAATCAAAGTCCAACATTTATGAGAAAAAAGGCTAGCTTACAGACTGTCTTGTAAAGTAAACCTCAAGGTTGCAACTTTTTAAAAAATTTGATCGCCATGCTATTTATTCCTCACAAGAGGAACTAGCAGATGATGAGTGAAGTACTCTACTCTGCCTTTGCCAGCTCTTTACAAAAAAGGACACTAATAAAATATTTTGTAAGATAAAAGCAGTGCCCCCCTCCTCCACCATAAAGAGGGCAGAAAGAGGCATCCCACAAAGAATCACAGCCACGGGACTAGCCCAAGACATTCTGTTGCATATAGTATGTAGCATATACTGTAGTACTTCCTACCCATCAAAGCAAGGTATGTATACTGTACTAATAAAGCCATATAGGTATACGTGTGCCTATAAATCAAATTGGCACCTTAGGCAGAAATGTCAATAAGCACCCCTCCCTAGCACTAAAAATACTAATGGAATGAAATAAGTAACTACCAGACCACCCACTCCTGTAAACAACTTTCCATCTTTACTTGACACCCGAAATCTGTTCTTTCACTCTGCCTAATAGTAGGGCTGGGTCTGCACAGCAGATTGGTAGGTGACGAATGAAGTAATCTGAACTCCAGATTAAACCATTTGATGTGTGTACTGGATATGCAAGCAGGGCCATGTCCACCACAGACCATACTAATGAGCTGTCAAGCCAATCCTGACTGATGGCAACTCTTTTCAGGATGTTCCGGGTGGAGAATAATCAGAGGTGGTTTACCTTTCCCTTCTTCTGGGGGCGCCTTGGGATTGTGCAGCTTGCCCAAGACCAGACAGGCTGGCTCTACTCCCAGGAGGCATAGTGGGGAACTAACTCCCAACCTCTGGCTCCACAGCCAGATACCGAAGCTACTGAGCTATCCAGACAGCATGTGAAGGCCGCATGAGCAAACTGGCAAAGTGAGGGCAAAAAGCATTGCCTCCCTTTGCCACTTCGCTGATGTGACAGCTGACAAGCATCCAGATTCAGACCTTCCAAGCTCAACTCAAGAGAGGTTGCCAACTCAACAGGGATCTAAAATACATCTAAAGGGGGCATCTTTGAAAGGGCAAACTAGGTCACCTGACTTGATCTCTGGGTCTCAAGTTCCTCCTTTTCAGACCAGGATACTCTCCTGTTCTGTGTTTGTCCTTCACAGTCAAAAATAAACTTTCACAGTCACACACAACACAAGCAACTTTGGGAGGGGGTGGCGGAGTGTGGCAAGAGATGAGTTGCTGCTATTTATTTAACAGCTTCTCTGGAGTTAGAAGTTTGCTATGGAGTTTTGCCAGCTGTCTAACTGTCCTTCTGACACCAGGCAAATACCGTTTTCCTGGGTTTTTTAGATGTAATTTTAATTCCACTGCCTGTTCTGTTGTGTGTTTACAATTTTATGGTTTTTCCTTTATTTTGCTAGCTAGATCTACATATTACCTGGGGTTTTTTTCTCCCATAAACTACAGTACCCTATAAACGGAACCGATGAGCAACATAAACATAGTTAGAATACATAAGTAAATAATAAATAAGGCGTAAACCAATCCAACTGTGTATTCGAGGGAGAAAAATAAATAAGCCTTCCATTTCGGACCCATTAAACTCTTGGCACAGTAAATATCTTACGCTATTTACATCAGGGTGTTTCCTAGGGCAGAAATAAAGCAGTGGGTATCGAAGGGCAGGCCCGGTGGAGTAAGGGAAGGAAAACGGGAAGAGGCCACGGAAAGTGCGTTCCCCGGGTTAGGCCCAATTAGATCCCCGGACTTGCGTGACGGGCGCTGCCGATGGCCTTACCGCCTCCACGGCATGCTGCAGAATGGAGGTGATCTTGGAGAACATCCTGTCCCTGGACTGGACCAGCCGCTGCCGGGAGGATCTTGAGAGCTCCTCGATCCGCCGCCTCCGCTCCAGGGTGAGGGCTGCATGCGGGGTTCCTGGCCGGAGGGATCGAATCAGATCGGCTGCCGGAGGAGGTCGGACTTGAAGAAGGGCTCCTGCGCCGTCTCTCTCTCTCTCGCCCTGCAGCAGGAGACACCGTGGCACTGACAGCCTCCGACACCCACCCGGGCCGGGCCGCGGCGCCCGGAAGCCGAGCGCCTTCCCCCGAGTCGACGCGGCGGTGGCGGCGGCGGCTCCCGCTCCCTCCCCTCCTGCTCCGCGTCCAAGGGCCGCTACCTACGGAACAGCTGTATGGACGCCTTCGGCCCGATCCCGACCCACAGAAAGAGAGAGCGAGAGAGAGAATATAACGTCGCTCCAGGGAAGGGAAACCCTGTGAGACCAGGAGGAGCCCTTCTGCCGGCAGAGATCCACACACCACTCTGACCAGATCAGCTTTTCTCCTGCAGAAGGAATCTCGCAGATCCAGGCGCCTAAGGCGCAAGATGGGTTCATTGGGATGCAAATACATTCCTGCAGACCTTGAGGGCATAGCAGCCCTTGAATAATGTTCAGTCTGCCCCCAAATCCCCTGTACTGGGATGATCACATCCCTTTATTCTGTAGTCCTTGATTTGAAATAAGAGCCTGCTCCAGATGCTGACTTCATATAATCACTAATATCAATTGGTTTATTTGTTTAAATCTCTTTAATGTTTTGATTCTGTCAAGCAGAACATGCTCACATGCCTGTGATGAATAACAAGCAGGGACAAAAGCATAAACCCCAAGAAGGTGGCAGAAAAAGAGAGCAGTGGTATAAAAGAGCAGGATTTAATTAATGCATGATTTATTATCAGTAAGGCCAGAACAGAGGTAGTCAGGAGATGCCTTAGGCAGCAGATTTTGAGCACCACAAAAAGGCACCATAGAAAGGCAACCGTCTGACTTTAAAAATATATATATTATTATGTTTTACTATTTTACTGCCTCCCGTGTCAAAATAACGTGTGTGCGTGTGTGCGTGTAAAGTTGCATTTCTCTTTTCTTGCTATGGTTAAGCATGGTTATAAATCAGGTAATGTTTTGTACAGTATTCTCTTCGCATCACTTTGGCCATGGTACACCTTCATTTTATAAGTGGCGTGGATGCCCCGGTCAGTGGGCCATCAGCCCAGGGCCTGACTCACCCACTGAGCTCTCAGTAAAACCCATCAAGGGGTCAGGAGACGTGGAAGATAGAATGGTGGACCTGGAAAGGGCAGAGAGGCCCATTCCCAGGACAGTGGGACCCAAGACATAGCTTTACCCATAGAGAAAGACTACCTGTATGGGGAGGAAAGAAGCTCCTTGCTGCTGCCACTGGGGGGGGATATAAAAGCCACTTCACCACAAGTAGAACCAGAAACCCCCGTGGGGAAAACCTAGCACAAAACAGGCTGCCAGACTGAGAAGTTCAGAGAAGTAAGTCCCGGCTCTCCCACCAGAGAAGAGGAGGAACTTGAAGGCGGGGCCTGGGGAGACATTAAAGAGGAACTTTCACAGACCTACAGTATTAGGCTGGACAGTCTCTGTAAGAAAGAGCCAAAGCCCCCAGAGGAATGGGACTATGTATTTAAGGAAGAGCCCTGCATAGGGGTTTTGGTGCAATTAAGGGTTGCTAAAAGGGAAGGGGGAAACCACCAAAAACCCCAGCCACCATACTGGCCCTCTATGGTGGACAGAGTGGAGATAGCCGACAGCCACCCAGATCCAATACGGGCAGAGAAAACACCAATGAGAATGCCAAAGCTGGAACGAGAGGGAAAAGAACAGCCTGGGGCAATCAAGCACCTCCAGGGTGGGACCCCTCACCTACGTGCCCTCATTGTGGGTATATTGGCCCTCATTCTAGATACAACTTGGTACTGGCAGAGTACCAGAGTTGGCTCAAGGACTGATCAGTTATCAGCTTGCTTAGTGAAAAGAAAAAGGGTCATTGAGGAGCTCATGGACCTTCCACTGAAGGGAACTAGGAGGCTAGAGTATAAAGAGCTGGACATTCGAGGAATGGACTTAACAAGGTCAGAAGACTCTTAAGTGGAAATTGCATTCTGAGAATGTCCAAAATAATGTATTTATCTCCTCGGTTCCTTGTGCACCATTATATTTACTTGTTGTGTAAGTAAGAAATCTTCAAAGCTCCAGAAGGATAGGTGCAGTGGTCCTTGTGGAAGAGGAATCCTCCAAGTATGTAGCTGGAGCTTTGCCAGGACCTCCCAACAGAGGAGGGGGCCCACTAGGGGATGCATGGCTCAGGAACCCTAAAACCTGGAGCCAGCCTCGTTTCCCATCTTTTGCTTTGCTTTTCCTTTGAAGGGTTAAGAAAAGGACTTTCCTTTATTGTATTCGCGAAGGCTTTCACGGCCGGGATCTAATGATTGTTGTGGGTTTTTCAGGCGCTTTGGCTGTGTTCTGAAGGTTGTTCTTCCTAACGTGAATTCCCAAGCCAACTACACCTGAGCACAGAGTGCTGTCCTCTGAAGATGCCGGCCACAGAGGCCGGCAAAACGTTAGGAAGAACAACCTTCAGAACACGGCCAAGGAGCCCAAAAAACCCACAACAACCACTTTCCTTTATTCTCTGTTGTTAATGGCAGTTAGCTATGCAATATACTGAACAGTAATGACTTCTGTTGACACTGTCAAGGTATGTCTGAAAGTCATTTTGTGGTCATGTTTCTTTTAGAAAACCTATCCTTCTAATTATAGTGCAAAGAAAATAAGTGAATACATCTATGATTTCAATATTTTTAAAAAAATCAATCCATTTTAATTAACTTTTGCTCGATTTTGAGCTTTCACACTGATGAGATAATGTCTCTCTCTCTGTCTCTCTCTCTCTCTCTCTCTCTCTCTCTCTCTGTGTGTGTGTGTGTGTGTGTGTGAGAGAGAGAGAGAGAGAGAGAGAAAGGGAGGGAGAGAGAGAGAGAATCAAAACACAGACAATAGAAAAACCACCCTACCTATCTATCAGTATCTTATTACTAAAAGGCAAGATGCCAGGAAGGCACTCAGAGTTCTGCATTTATCAGACCACAGCCTTCCGAGCATCTTAGTATAATTGCTGTGTCAAATTTTATTTATTTGCCATTTAGATTTCCATAGCTCACAGTAAATAAGTAATGGAAGAAGTATAATATAAGCGGTCAAAGTGTTGGGTTTCAGAGATCTACATTCTAGTCTTCACTGAGCCATAAAATTCTCTTGGTGCTGCGCGCCAGTCTCTCTCCATTGACCTACCTTACAGGATTGTTGTGAGGATGAAATGGAGAAGAGGGAGAAGATAAGGAAAAGTTCTGTCTGTGCTGCCTAAGGGAAAAATGAGCCTAGAGTTTCCAACATTTTGTGACTACAAAGAGGTACTGACATTAAGGCTTGTCACACAACAATAGCCAGAGAAAGAAGGCCTGGACTTTCTTTCAAATACCAGCTTATCCGGAACACAACCTAAAGCACATGGTTTGTGGATGTAGTGTGGCATGGGCATACTAGGGAACATACAAGTGGAGAAAAAAAAACTGAAGCAGCAAATTTTGTAAAAACCAGAGAAGAATTTAAATCCCAACAACTCTGAGCTGGAAAGGGAGGGAACTAAGAGGCCTATAAATCTCTTTATAGACCTATTTATAACTGAATTTTGGATATGTTAAAAAATAAAAATATATCAGTGTTTTTGTTTGCTTATTTCTTTCATACCAAAGGAGGACAAGAAACATCTTGGGCAGCATCCTCAACTGAGTGGTTATGGCTGCTCTTAGATGAAATTTGTTTCTCTAGGCTAGACTAACTGCCTTGTAGCACGGTTTTTAATTGTTCTTCCCCGGTGTAGACCTTGACATGCTCTTAGCTCCTGGTTAGACAACACACTTCCTTTGTCAAAACGAGGTGTGATAGTAGGAATTCTAAATCAGTGCCTTGTAGTGTTATTGGACTGGTTAACAGCTAATAAACTGAGACTCAGGCAATATTGTAATGAATGGTTTGATCAGGATTGATGTTTAATCTGTTCTAGGGGACAGTTGTACTCCTCTGAAGGACCAGGTTTGTAGGTGTGCATTAATCCATTGAATTGCTTCTGTATCTTAGGGTGCCACCTGTTACTTAGGATGGCATACCAGTTGTAATTTGTTATGGACAGAAGTAGCCTTGTTTTAATTATCCATACTGTGGTAGCTTACTGTTTGAATTATTGTAAGAGAAATTAAATTAGGGTGAATTCTACTCAGTCAAAATAATAATGTTAATTTGCAGTCCTGAAAACTGGATTATGTGAATTCATCTTTCCCCAAAAGAGTTTAAAGTGGTGCAGTGCAGTTAATAATTTCTCGATCTCCACTTCTGATGTATTACGCTGTAAATTAGTATACGGAGGATGCTCGTTTGGGATTTGTGGCCCTTCCAGTTCTAGGATTCAGTTATTCTAAATGATGGAAAGCAGAAGCCCCAGGGTCACTCTTCATGGTGATGATTCATCATTCTGTGGTACACTTACAGCTCACTCTTGCAACGAAGAGCATCCCATACAGGACTCATGCCAGAGAGGTTCAAAGACATGGCTTAGCCCATACCCATGTAATGACGACAGGGGCATAAATTCTTCTAGTATAACACTTTCAATCATGGAAATGACTTTTGGGTGCAATCCTCCAAATGAAATCTTTATATGAGCCAAAAAAGCACTGGGTTTTAAACTAAGGCATAGAACACAAAATTATTACAGTGCTATTATTGGTCCTCTCTTTTTCCTGATTCCAAACCACTCTGAGCTGTAAGGTAAAATATTCATGCACACCCTTATCATCAGGTACCAAGAGATCTTGCCAGTGCTTCTTCCTCTGCACTTCCATGGCAATAGAAATGCAGTAATCATATATTAAATAACTAGCAATTTGCAATTAGACAATGTGGCTTTGGTGCTTAATACTGCTATATAGTGGTACTTCTACTCCAATACCACCTCTACTCTAGCCTGAGTAATTGACTAGAACAACAAGATCATTCTGCATTATTTGCTCCTAACTTACAAAGGCAGAAGGCATCAGTTAGCAGAATATGGTCCTGTGGCTGTTTTTCACATGGACTAAAGCTGGCAAGCCACTGCATAGTGTATAGTGTGCAAAATTTTTAGCAGGCACAAAGGAGTCCAAACCTCTGTGGGAGCACT